TGCATTACTCTCCCAGACGTGTATCACAGCAAAAGCAGTAAACTAGTGCAGAAGATTCACTGATTTCCAAATAACACAGTTAGAATCAGCCCTTGTTGACGAGACAGACCAAGATGTTTTCCATGAGCTGATACCTTGAAGGCCACCTGGATGATCTCCTCTGTGTTGGCAGGGTTGCACAAGACAGCCAGGCCGATCACATACTCACGGAAGTCGATGCTGCCATCGTTGTTCTGTAAAGGGACAGGAGGGATCAGTCAGCAGGGCTGCTAGTTGAGCTGCTGCTGTTCATGAGGTCACAAAGCCAGCCTCAGGTGCACCTCACTGTCATGCACTGAGCCTGTTCACTTCTCCCTGAGACAGTACAGCAAGCAAGGGGACCACTGGTTTTCCATTTAGCAGGAACTGTATTGAGAATACATGTCTTACTTAGCATTCGGTACACACATTTTATCACTGAAGCCATTAGGAGTGGCCCTCGGGGCACCCAGGATGGGTTCCTGAGTTCAGTGCTGCCTTAATGGCAGGATCCAGGACTTTCATCTTCAATGGGATGGAAGCAATGATGGACTTCCACAGGCAGGATCATGGCAAAATTCTACACTGAGAGGCAAAATCACAGCAAAATTCTCTCAGACTTAATCCGCAGTCAATTAGGACCAACTAAAGCCGACATGGGAGACTCTGAACCCCTTGGGATACCAGGCCCTAGCAGGCCCCACATTTGTAAGTCACTGGACAAGCAACATCACCACTGCCATGACCTATGGAGACATTCTGAGCCTCAGTCAAAAAGAAAGGATGGATAATTCCCCAATAGACTGACAGAATCCACAGTCAACTTTATACATTCATTACTCACCTGGTCAGGAACACCGAGAGGATGAAAAAAGGGGACAGAAAGCCTAAGAAAAGGAAGAAAGGGAGAGAGGGATAAGCTGGAGAGCCAGGGGAGCCTGAAGGAAGAGAGGACAGAGCTGAGGGGGAGAAGAGAAGAAAGGAAAAATAAGATTGAAAGTGCAAAGGAAGGAAACATGGGGACAGTGTTCCGGATAGCAGCTCAGCCCACTGAGACACAACGCTGGCCTCTTGATGGATTTTGGTTTTAATTCTCACTATGGACAGTTGCACAGTACTGAAGTTTCTATGGTTGTTTTATAAGTAAACATTAAAATATCCAAAAAATGCAAGCAATCATTAAGATGAGGTACATGTTTCAAATACTCCTGGAAGTTTGTTGTTGTTCTTAGATAAAGTTTCTTTCTTTAACAAAGATTTACTTTTTATTTTAAAGCCAGGGTTACAGGCAGAAAGGGAGAAAGAGAGATCTTCCATTCATTGGTTCACTCCCCAGGTAGCTGGCAACAACAATGGCTGAGCCAGACTAAAGCAGGAGCCAAGTGCTTCACCCATGTCTTCCACACGGGTGAAGGTACCCAAAGACTTTGGTCATTCTCCATTGCTCTCCCAGCAGGGAGTTGGGTCTAAAGTGGAGCATCTGGGAATCAAACAGTATCCATATGATATGCCAGTGTTGCAAACAGAAGCTTAACCCTCTATGCTGCAGCACAAACCCCAATAAAGTTATTGTGTAAAATGATATGAGGCATTTTGAAATTTAAAAAGTATACATGGAGAGCAGGTCTTCGGTGCTGTAGATAAGTTGCTCCTTGGGACACACATCCCATATCAGTGCACCTGGTTGGATTCTCAACTCTTCTGCATCCAGTCCTGCTCCCTGCTTATGCACGGAAGCAGCAGGTGACGCTTCAAGCATTTGGGTCCCTGCCACCCATGTGACAAAGAAATGAGTATTTTAAAAAAAAACTACATAACACCATTTCACATGTTCTCATCATTAAGTATTTTTTTCAACATCCTACACTGATTATACTCTGTGATGTTAGAACTTAAAAATAATGAAATGGGGTTACATGAATCAAAGGCCTTCGCCTGGAGCTGGTACTATGGCACTGCCTGTGATGCCAGCATCTTATATGGGTGCTGACTGGTGCCCTAGCTGCTCCACTGCCAACACAGCTCCCTGCTAATGTGCCTAGACAAAAAGCAAGAGACAACCAAAAGTCTTTGTCTCCTGTGCCCATGTGGGGGAAACTCTTGGCTCTTGGTCTTGATCATAGCCTAGTCCTGGCTATTACAGCCTTCTGGGGAATGAACCAGCAGATGAAAGATCTCTCATTCCCTCTTTCAACTCAGTTTTTAAAAGGTTATCCAACGGGGCTGGCATTGTGATGTGGCAAGCCAAGTTACTGCCTTCAATGCTGGCATCCATATGGACACCAGATTGTGTCCCAATTGTTCCACTACTGATCCAGCTCACTGATAATGAACTAGAAAAAGCACCAGGAAATGTTTCAAGTGTTTGAGCCCCTGGTCACCCATGTGGAAACCCAGGAGAGGCTCCTGTTTCCTGGCTTCAGCCTTACCCAGCACTGGCTGTTGCAGCCATCTGGGGAGTGAACCAGCAGCTGGATAATCTCAACCTCTCTCTCTCTCCCTCCCTCCTTCTTTTGCTTTCTGTAATTCTAACTTCCAAAATAATTAACTCTTTTTTAAAGGCTGTCAAAAAAATATTTCTTTCTGTGCTAAAAATGTGCCTTTAAAACATTAAATATTGGATGACAACTAAGAAATTATATCACTTGTTACTCTATTAGTTCTATACAGTGCCAAAGGTTTGACTACTTGGAAAAGTTCAAGGTTTGGATTGGAGTTTTGCACTTCCACTCTGGCAACTGAGGTTATTTACACAAATGTAATACAAATTTAGGAGAGGAGCTTGGGTCACTTTAGGATGTTCCTTCATGTGCCTGCTGGAAGAGAATCATAGAAGTAGGTAATCCCTCAGTTTAAGGAGTAAGTAAATGTTTAATACCAGACCTCCTGTGAGATGATGATCTTCACTTTTCGAGAACGTGTCTTTAGAGCCAAGCTACAAAACTCTGGCTCCACTCTCCTTCCCACAGCCATCATGCAGGAAGGTTCAATTGTAAACTTAATATTCTGAGGCCTTAAACAACGTCCTGGCAACTTTTTCCTCTCCTGGCTGCTCTCCCCTATTCACGCTTAACATATTGCTGGGCTCATTCTAGAAGAGGAAGGCTGATATTGATGTGCGGTTGCTGGCAGCAACCTCATTCCTACTCTAACCACACCTGGGCTAAGCAGCCCATCAGACCCAAGTTAAATTACAAGTCCCTTGAGGACAGTGGTTCTATGCTCGGTGCTTGGTTCAGTTCAGAATTACATGTGTGCAGAGCTTCCTAAACGCTACATGATGGCGGCAATGGTGAACACAGCAGTCAAATGCCAACCCCTCCGATTTCCATTGGGAATTTCTAACAGGCAGCTGGGGGGTTATCCACAGGCTGACTACATATGCCCATAGCTACAACAAGTTAAAAGAGAAAGCAAGTACTTATTTGAAAGCCCAGGGGGACCCTCCAAAGTAGCCTTAGTTGGAAGGGATGTGTTAGCCAATGGGAAAATAGAAATAGCAGGCTGGTGAACTGTGCACTTGCAAATGCAGCCTCACCCACTGGGTCCATTCACACTGGCACATTAGACTCAGTCTGCTCATGAAAACCATAAAGTCAAACCATGGGCTCTATACTGGAAAGGCACCAGGGCAGGGATTTGGGGTTCCTTTGGATTTTTTCCTCCAGGAGACTGCTACACTGAATTTTCTATTAGGCCAGAGTTTGTGGGAGACAGATTTGACAAATCCTGGTGTGTGTGTGTATGGTAGAGGTGGATCTGGATTATTCCCCTATTTTAGAGCAGCCAATGGTGGGGGCAGTGGGTTAAGCCACTGCCTGTAATGACGACATTCTGTATGGATGCTGTCATGTCCCAGCTGCTCCACTTTTGAGCTAGCTCTCTGCTAATGGATAGTGAAAAGCAGCAGCAGACAGCCTGTTTGGACCCATGCCACCCACGTGGGAGACCAACAGTTCTGGCTGTTGGGGCCATCTGGGGAGTGAACCAGCAGTTGAAAGATCTCACTCACTCTAACTCTGGGTCTTTTTCTTTAACTCTTGACTTTCAAATAAATAAATCAAGCAAACAGCAAAGGCTATCATCAGAATCACCTCGGAGCTTCAGCACTTTCTCTCTGGGCTCTGCCTTTGTTTGCAATCTCACTGTCCAAATTATTCGGAACGGAACCAAGGCATTTGGACTGCTGAAGAGCTCATTTACTGATCACCAAATAAAAGTCACCAAAATAAAGAGTTGCTTTATATTGCCTTGGACTGATTGCCTTTGATGTCTTTTTTAATCTTTGTGTTTCCTATGTACTCACAGTTTCCCAAGATGAGCACAAGAATTTTCCTAGCTCTAAGGCAGGACAAGATATGACAAGAGCTGGCTGACACCAGCTGGGCATGCCTGAGTTTGCAGGAAGCATGTGTGAGGGCAGTGTTTTTGAACTAAGGATATACCCTCATGTGTCTCAAATGCCTTTGAACCCCCCCTCCACACACACAAGTATATCAAAGCAAAACAAGATTACAAAACGCTTATTTTACTAGATAAACAGAATCAGAGTTCTAGAAATTTAAATAGTTACGCCACAGTTTTTTTTTAAATGCTGTCCTCATACAAAAAGTATTTTATTTCACATTTCTAAACCTGTCTCTATATATCTAAAACATTCTTTCTAGAAAGCACTTTTTTCTTTTTTTCTTTTTTTACATAATGGAAAGACCAGATGTGAAATTATGAGAAAAACGGACTTTGAATCTCTCTCTTCATCCTCTTACAGGGAAAAACCTATCTTCTGAGTTATTTTCTTAATTTATTCCAATGCTTAAAACAAAACAAAGCAATGATAACATTCTTATTCATGGAGTTCATAATCCCTAAATCTATGACTTTACAACCCTGCACCCCCTTCCATCAGATATGCAAATAAATCTAAATAAATCTAGTATCTCAGAAAGAGGACATACTAACCACTCAGCACAACTTTTATGAAAAAAAAAAGGAGTGTTTTAATTAAAGCAGTAGCAGGTGGCCCACAATCTGAAATAGGCAGGGATGTGACAGAGCTCGCCAGGAAGTGACAGCTGCGGTGTGGAGGGAGCATCCTTGTCCTCTGCGAGGTTCTCAACTCTGCAGTGGCCACTTCAGGAATACATGGTCAGCTGCAGCCACTCTTCCATAGACACCTGGATCAGACCATCGGCATCTCTATCCAGAGACTTGAAGGCACGAAACATGGCGTCCAGGCGGACGAGGCAGCTGATGAAGTTGTTAAAATCCATACTGCCGTCCTCATCAGTGTAGCGGCGCACTATCATTTCGTGGAGCTGCTCGTTCAGCTGGAAGCCTGCCGCCTGCACAGCCTGCCGCAGCTGGGACCCACGCAGAGACCCAGAGTGATCCTTGTACTGCTTATACACGCACTGCCACTTCTTAATGTTGTTCCACAGGTACTTGAATTCTTCAAAGCCCAGCTTCCCGTTCGTGTCATTGTCCATGACAGACACAATGCTCCGGCACGTGTCAAGGCTGAAGCCGTCTGTCTTCAGGCTCTCCTTGTGTTTAGAGATGACTTTGTTGAGAATATTCATCAGGTCGGTGGCACCCACCTCCAGGTCTGGACCGGCCAGTTGCTCAAACTGTCGCCGAAATCGCTTCACTTCTTCGCTTTCATGGGCCTCCACGTGGGTGAAGTGCTTCTGCGGGGGAGGTGGTTCTGGAGTATACTGAGCTGCTGCAGCCTCACTGATAAAATTCACGATCCCTCCAACTATCCGGCCAATATTACCTCCACCTCCACCGCCGCCTCCACCTCCACCGCCGCCTCGGCCTCCACCCCTGTCCCCACCACCTCGCTGACCACCTCCACCAAGAAGACCTCCCAGGGCTTCTCCAAGACCTCGATCTGCCCCTTCCAGAAAGGCCTTTGCAAGAAACATGCTTTCAGTCCAGCAGGCAAGTGCAAAAGCTGCGGAGGTCTTGGAAATGGTGTGTGAGGAGAGCCCAACGCAGTCCAAGCAGCTGCATGTGGAAGAACTGGCTTTTCTGCACCTGCTTACACCACCCCACGCCCCAAGAGGTGAGGCTCTGCTTCCAGCTCAGGGTGCCCGAACTCCACCAGGTCCTAGCACCTGCCGTGTTTTAGGGGCCTCAACAAAATTGCTCTGTATACTTCTAGGATAATAATCCTATATCACAATATGTACGGGTATGAAACATTAGAATAACACTCTAACCAATAAAACACAACACTATACATATCTGACACTGGTTTCTCAGTGCTCCTCAGACCCTGAGTCATAATGTGCAAATTTCCTAATAGGAGAAGATGAGTAACTCAAGAAAAATCGTTCATTCATTCAAAAACCAGAAAGACACAGAGAGACAAGATCTTCCGTCTATTGGTTCATCCACAACAGCAATAGCTAAATCAGGTCAAAAAAAGGAGACCAGCACTCAGTCTAAGTTTTCCCTTTGAGTGGGAGGGAGCGATCCCTTCAGGGACTCACTTGACCCGTCACCTGCTGCTTCCCAGGATGCCCAACAAGAAGGCTGGACTTTGAGGTAGAGCTTGGATTTAAACCCAGGCACTCTCATATTGGATACAGTTATCCAAACAGCGTTTTAAATGCGCCAAATGCCTGCCTCAGTGTTCAAGTAGTTAGCCTCCTTTATTAAGTTTATCCTTAAATATTTTATTCTTTTTGATAAAATTGTAACAGAATTGTTATCTCGATTTTTGTTTCAGGTTGTATATAGAGATGCAACTGATTTTGTGTGTTGATTTTATACCCTGCAACTCTGCTAAGTTCAACTACTAGTTCTATTAAGTTGGTTTGTGTGTCTCTCCGTGTGTAATCTTAGGGTTTCCAATAAATGTGATCATGGCATCCATGACAGAGATAACTACATCTTGCTTTTCAATTTGTATTCCTTTTACTTCTCTCTCTTACTTCATTATTCTGGCTAGGGGGCTTCTGGCACAATGTTGAACAAAGACAATGAAAGCCAACACCCTCATCTTGTTCCTCATCTTACAAGAAAACCTTTGCCTTTACCACTGAGTATGATATTAGCCATGGCTTTTCCTAGATGGTGTTTATTATGTTGGGGCACTTTCCTTCTGTCTCTAGTTTGCTGAGTGTTATTATAAAAGGGTACTGAATTTTGCCAAATGTTTGTTCTATACCAGTTGAAGTGATCATGTGACTTTTCCCCTTCATTCTAAAACTGATGGTTTTTCACATAGTGAGCCATCCTTGCATTATAAAAATAAATGCCACGTGATCTTGCTATATAATCTTTTTACTAGTGAAAATTTTATTTATTGGAAAGATATAAAGTGGGATGGGGGAGGAGAATGAGTTGGTTTCTATTCATTTGTTCACTTGCTAGGTGCCTGCATGGTTGAAGCTAAGTTAGGAGCAAAGGCAGGAGCTGGAAACACAATCTTGTTCTCCCATATGCATGACAGGAAGGATCTCAATTATTTGAGGCATTTCCACTGCTCTGGCTCTCTGGAGTCAGAAGCCAGAGCTGGGGATTAAACCCAGGATCCTTTATGTGGGATGCAGGCATCTTAATTACCAGGCTAACTGAACACTCCTTATATAATGTGCTGTTAAATTTTGTTTGCCAGTATATTGTTCAAGATTTGGCATCAGTATTCAGTTTTTTACATTATCTTCATCTGGTTTTGGTAGCAGGGTAAAGCTGATCTCACAGAATGAGTTGAGAAGTGTTTCCTCTTCAGTGTTTTGGAAGAGTTTGAGAAAGGCTGCTGTGACTTCTTTAAGTGCCTGATAGAATTCACCAATGAAGCCATTTGGTCCTGGACATTTCTTTGTTGGGAGATTCTGGCTCTCCGTGTTAGATCAGAATTTTCCATTTCTTTATGATTAGGACTCAACAGACACAGTATTTCTGTGAATCTGTCCATTTCACCTAGGTATCCAATTTTCTTACATACAATTGTCCATGATACTCACCTATACTCCTTTTTATTTCTACACAATTGTGATCTGTCTCCTCTTTTATTTCTGTTTTATGTGTCTCTCTTTTCCCCCTTGCACATTACACTTGTGAAATTTGATTTTATATTTTTAGTTATTGCCTTCAGATCATTCTATCACAGTCACCCCAGAGAATACTCTGAGACGCCCCATCTTGGTTCTAGGTTAGATCAGAATACAGGTTCTCAAGAAGTCTCAGGAAGTTCCATTAGTGAGATCGGGAAAAAGGTGGCCTGAACTTAATAGCATATCATACGACCTAGTACTTGGAGTTTCGACTTCAAATCAATAATGATAATAATAGTATCTTCTATGATACTATTGTTGATAATAACAATATCTTCTATGATGTTATTCTATTTTATGATACTATTGATAATGATAATAATAGCATCTTCTGTGTCTACTCCAAAGTGATTTAATCTGGTTATTATACACCAGGACTTGAACTCAGTGAGTAAGACATAACATGAAGACAACAGGATTATTGTGCCCAAGGATCCAGGAGATCCACAGAAAATCAGTTGTAATTTTAATCTGAAACCTGTGTCCACATTTCTACTAATAACTCATTATATTGATATAGAATATGCTTTGGTTTTTAGCTTCTATAGAATTCCTTTGGAAGCTCTGAAAGTCTTCACAACAGAGAAAGAACAAGCGAGAGGCATGAAGCTAGTTATTCCAGATCCCTGGCTAATGCACTGCACCATATTATCAAGCCAGTACGGAAGCCCAAATGGGGAGTACTGATTTCTGCTGAAGCAAACAGAAGCTGAACATTGAGTCGTAGAAGAGATTACTGACTACAGGCTGAGTAGGAGTCTCTAGCTGCACCAGAGGTTTAAAGGGATAACAGGATAAAAACAGAGGTGCCAGTGGATGGAAAGTAGTCATGAGATAGTGGGTAAGATACCGGGGTGCATTTCTACTGCTGCAAATGAAGGGAACTGAGAAATGAGTGGAAGGGACCCTGCCTAGAAAGACCCATGCGGCAGAATCCTCATGCAATAGTGTAGCAACTGCCAAGGGCTCCAATGGGACACCGCAAGAGAGTAAATGTAAAATTACTTCAGAAACTGGGCAATCCTAGAGTTAGTAAATGACTTTCCTGGCTGTAGTTAGGGAAAACATAGTAACGAAGGGACGTGACTCCATTTAATGATGCTGGTGTGGTATCATGCCTCCTATCACGCCCAGTGGTTTCTAAAAACCTCTCTAGCGACTGATTTCATTTCTTGTGAGCACAATGAAATGGCCTCTATGAATACAGAAGGACAAACATTTTCTGGAGCCACACAGGAAAAAAGTCCCACAAAAAGATGGTCTTGATTTCAGGGGAACACAGCAAGCCATCTGGTCTTAGATTTAAACCCATCCATACAGGCTGCTCCCAGAACAAATGGCATAGGCCTTGTTTTTCTAATATTGAGAGTTAACTTGATAGTGTTCACTGTCATATGAAATGTGCTTCCTTCTGCCCATCTGAAGTGGTTTATTTGCTGCAGTTTAAATCCGATTGCTCTCACTTATTTTCTGTGAAGATGAAGAACATTTGGCTAAGAGTTTCTCATAAGCCATCATAAAACAAAAGACTATTATTAGATTAAGAAGTCATTTTTTTTTTCTAGAATATTTAATTCCCTCTGGCTATCTATTAGAACATTAATAGCAGCCTTAGTTCCTGTTTAGGAGAACTCTGCTGTACAGACCTGGAGAAAAAGGGTGAGTGAAGAGGCCACACTTGATGGAAAGTTTGGCCGCAATTCATTGGGAGGAGAAAAGAGCTGTTGAATTTAAAAAGTAAACAATGACAGGGGAAATACTATCAGTAATGTTACTCATAGTAACCCCAAAGTAGAAGCAACCTACATGTCCACCAACTGGTGGAGAGATAACTAAAATGCAGTATATTGAGATAAAAGAAACGCTTCATCAGTAAAATGGAATGAATTACTAACGTGTGCTACAAAATGGATGCAGCTTTAAACATTATACTAGGTAAAAGAGCCCCGGAATAAAAGCCCATAGATTGAATGATCCTAAATTGTATGAAATGTCCAGAAAAGGAAATTCTTGAGTCAATCTGGGTGAGTTATATAGTAAGTAAAAATATGTGTCAAGAAAATTATATTTAAGAATAAGTCAACACAGATTGCTTGTACTAAAGGGATTCTGCACTAGGAATTCTGTGAACAACAGAACCAGCCGTGCAGCTCTGAGCTGGTCGCTTCCCTCTTGGCTGCCAACATTCTAGAGGATGGATGGGCACTGTGACACCAAAAGTCCCTCTAGCTTTACAAGGCTGCGGTCTAGATTTGCAAATGCCACAGAATGGTGACAGGAGCCTGTTGAGATTAGTTTTCTTCTGGCGCCTAAGCCTTTTATGCTACACTTGTATTTTCATTCAGTTGTTCTTTATCTTGGATCTGGTTCCACAACATTTAAAGACATGCTTACTTACACTAATCTCCATTTTGACATAGTACCTGGTGTTCCAAGTCCTGCTAATTGCAACCTTTCCCGCGGCTCATTTTCCCAGTGGAATCCCCAGGTGCAGGCACTCAGCAGGAGCACCGACAGCTCCCACTTCAGGTGCAGCCTGTCGTGTGGGGCGTTCACCCCACTGTGATGTGATATGAACCAGACCTTCCTAATTGGTTCAGAAGAATGTCACGGTGGATAAAATCAAAAGCCTTTCTCGACTCCATATAGATCCTATCTGTTTTTCCTTGTCCTCTCCAACTGTCATTTTGTCATAAATGGGTCTGACACAACTGGTTCTTTATAAAGCCCTGTTTTTCATTTCCCTACACCTTTGGAGGAGGTCAAGGTTCTAATTAAAAAGAAAAAAACAAGTTAAGTTTTAATTGTGAAGCTTCCTGTCTGCTTCCTATATTCACCTCCCAGGAATCCTTTCACTGAAAAACCAAAAATAAAGCAGGTTATTCTCAGAACTCAATGGGTACTTGTAATGTCCCAACACTCAGAGAAAAAAATTCTGTGATTGACTGAAATAGGGGAGTTAAGTCAATCTGAGAACTGAAGTGGGAATTAACTCAGACAGATAAACTATCAGACGCTCAGGATAAGTTGTGCAACTGAAGAAAAATACTTCACTTGTCCTGGACAAAAGTTATGGCAGTCTTTCCCTGCAGACCTGGTGAGTAACAGAGTGCATTTCATATAGCAAATCTTGATGAACTAGGATTGGAATCAAGGTGAACGGTATTTTTGGTTTGTTTTCAATGAACTGGGAAATGCTGCTAACCTATCAATCCAGAACTGGGCGCGCCAAGGACAGAGTCGATCCTGTTGATCGCAGGCACAGCAGCCACCTGGGTGTCTCCTCCCGTCTTGAGGCCTGGGAAAGTCGGCTCACTGCAGCACCCCACCTCCTCGGACAGGAAGAGGCAAGCAGCGATGCTTGTTATTCCTGGCACTCAAGATTTAGACTTGAACTCATACCAAGAACAGGGCAGACAGGAAGAACCTGGGCTAAAGAAACACACATTTATTCCACAGAATGTGAAATAGAGATGAGAAGTCTACAGAAGTTTACAATAGCCAAAAAGGCTTGCATTGCCAAAGTGCTGAAGCATACACAAACTTTCCCTGTCTGATATTTAAACAAAGCGCACGATAATGCCCAGAAGAGCGGAGCACTTCACACAAGGACAAATGAGGAAAGTCACAAGTCGTCAGGTTGTCTTTCTTTTTTTCAACAGAGTGAACATATTAACCAACTACCTGAATTCTGCAAGGCAACACCCTCTTTGGGGTGTAATATTATTGGTAAAAGGAGCATGTGAGCACATGCCAGACCACAATGGAGGAATCAGCAATAGATCATCCGCATTCCTTTCTTCTCATCTGTTAAGAGCATGGCATATCATTAGTTAGAATTGTGGGAGAATGAATATTCATGAGAGATAGACATATCAGTCAAGAATAAAGGACCATCGTGATTTCCTTTAAAGCAAATGTGGAGTATCCCACAGATTCACAACATTCTGTACACTATACACATTCACTGACTACAGTCCTTCAATTCAGTTCTCAGACCTGCCAGCACGCTTCCCTTTGATCAACTTAGGCAACGAGCAGCTTAAAGCTGGTGGGCACAGCTGGCACCTGTTTTCTAAATAAAATCTTATTAGGTCACAGCCATGCCCATTCTTCTACATGTGGTCTGTGGCTGCTTCTGTGCTAGCACGGCAGAGATGAATAGTTGCAACACATTATGTGATTTGTAAAGTAAACAATATCTTCTGTCTGGCCTTGTACAGAAAGCTCCCCCATTTCGGAATATAGTTTTGCTAGGGAGAGGATTCATGCTGTTATGCTAACAGTGTCAGATGAAACATTAAGCTGAATGGATCATCAGATGCAGTGAGGGAGAGCTCTAACTCATCAGGAGGACGAAGTAAGAGGCA